GTTTAGTTAATGATTGCCGCCCTTAGACTCCTTTGAGCTCTTTATACGTAACTTTCATAATTCCGTGATCTAAYGACGATGAATGGGTTGGATTACGTTGCGTTGTTTCATGTTGATTGACACCAGGATGCGCTTGATTACAAAAGTGTGCTCGGCAATATCACTCACTTCACACGTTTTTAGTTGTATTAATCTTGTCACCTAAAAACTCACTTTGTAAAGGGAATTGATGCGTCTTATGGTTATTTAGCCTGCGCGTGCAACCTGACTGCGGCGCTCTTGTGATAAGTAAATTATACAAATTATTTGAGAGCTTCACAAGGGAATTAAAGACCCATAYATCATCAGTACTATAGGAATGACATTAAGCCTTGAAATGTTTATCTTACGTAAACTGGAAAACAGGTTTGGGTTGCGCAGCTGTGGTAATGCATCACCCAATTTGGTCATTTCAGGGATATCCCCTGATTTTAAAACTAGGTTATGAGATGGGGTGATGCCATCAGCTCAGCAGAAGGCCGCATTGCAAGGATTTCCATGTAAAGATCGCGATAAATACTTGAAATCGCTTGAAGGATCAGAGCGTGTTAGGACATATTTATACGTTTACAAGATTCCTCCTTCTCAAATGTGTTAACATCTTCAACCCTGGAATGGGATTAAAAAGCAATAAAAATCTTTTTGCCGAGTAATTAGTTTGGCCTCTAGGATCGCCAAATAGTTTCTAAAAAGCCCGATCCGTGATCGTTTGCCACTTGATGCTAATTTYACGAGTTCCGTTGACTGTGCGAGTCTTTTATGTAAGCGGTGCGCTATTCTGATGCTTGCCGTGATAACAGAGCTACGAATGGGGATTCAACACTCATTAAAAATCCATTTTCTGTGCGCTGTTTGTTTTCAAGTTTTCCGACTCGTAATTACAATACACTTAATATATCTTCAATCAAATCACTAAATGAGATGTTTATGATTCTTACAGAGTATTTAGACAAACGATGGATTGCTGGAGAAAGGTTTTTCGCATGTTGTTTTTTTATCGTTGGCTACGTGAAAATATGAAGTATTTAAAGTTGACGTCCCTCTGGGATACTGATCTTTTGCCCCAGTTGGAATCCGTTTTACAACTTGACACTTTCTTGAAACGAATGTAAACAACAAACAAGAAACTGCGACTACAACAGACTACATGATATGGCAGCTAGTTCCCAAAAATATCTTTTGGAATAACTGCTTCTAAAGTTGCTTGTTTATCAAAGYTATTGAACCGTTTTTAAAAGTGTTTTTGATCTGTTGTTTAATAGATATGAGTGCTAGAGGTCGATAGCCGAGTGCCGCGTGCTGGGGGTGATTCAACATTGACTGGCACGCGTTTACCGTCATCACTCAATCTTATTCTGTTAACAGGTAACCGTATACTTGGTCACTGACAGTACTTATAAGCACGCCTATGTTAATACAGGGTTTCTAAAGGACCCAAAGAGGAGACGGACACACACTCGATCCTCTGAGCCGGGGTTGTTGTTTGTCNGTGTGCTCGGCAATATCACTCACTTCACACGTTTTTAGTTGTATTAATCTTGTCACCTAAAAACTCACTTTGTAAAGGGAATTGATGCGTCTTATGGTTATTTAGCCTGCGCGTGCAACCTGACTGCGGCGCTCTTGTGATAAGTAAATTATACAAATTATTTGAGAGCTTCACAAGGGAATTAAAGACCCATACATCATCAGTACTATAGGAATGACATTAAGCCTTGAAATGTTTATCTTACGTAAACTGGAAAACAGGTTTGGGTTGCGCAGCTGTGGTAATGCATCACCCAATTTGGTCATTTCAGGGATATCCCCTGATTTTAAAACTAGGTTATGAGATGGGGTGATGCCATCAGCTCAGCAGAAGGCCGCATTGCAAGGATTTCCATGTAAAGATCGCGATAAATACTTGAAATCGCTTGAAGGATCAGAGCGTGTTAGGACATATTTATACGTTTACAAGATTCCTCCTTCTCAAATGTGTTAACATCTTCAACCCTGGAATGGGATTAAAAAGCAATAAAAATCTTTTTGCCGAGTAATTAGTTTGGCCTCTAGGATCGCCAAATAGTTTCTAAAAAGCCCGATCCGTGATCGTTTGCCACTTGATGCTAATTTCACGAGTTCCGTTGACTGTGCGAGTCTTTTATGTAAGCGGTGCGCTATTCTGATGCTTGCCGTGATAACAGAGCTACGAATGGGGATTCAACACTCATTAAAAATCCATTTTCTGTGCGCTGTTTGTTTTCAAGTTTTCCGACTCGTAATTACAATACACTTAATATATCTTCAATCAAATCACTAAATGAGATGTTTATGATTCTTACAGAGTATTTAGACAAACGATGGATTGCTGGAGAAAGGTTTTTCGCATGTTGTTTTTTTATCGTTGGCTACGTGAAAATATGAAGTATTTAAAGTTGACGTCCCTCTGGGATACTGATCTTTTGCCCCAGTTGGAATCCGTTTTACAACTTGACACTTTCTTGAAACGAATGTAAACAACAAACAAGAAACTGCGACTACAACAGACTACATGATATGGCAGCTAGTTCCCAAAAATATCTTTTGGAATAACTGCTTCTAAAGTTGCTTGTTTATCAAAGTTATTGAACCGTTTTTAAAAGTGTTTTTGATCTGTTGTTTAATAGATATGAGTGCTAGAGGTCGATAGCCGAGTGCCGCGTGCTGGGGGTGATTCAACATTGACTGGCACGCGTTTACCGTCATCACTCAATCTTATTCTGTTAACAGGTAACCATATACTTGGTCACTGACAGTACTTATAAGCACGCCTATGTTAATACAGGGTTTCTAAAGGACCCAAAGAGGAGACGGACACACACTCGATCCTCTGAGCCGGGGTTGTTGTTTGTCTGTTTTTGGTTTATTGTTTCTGTTTCTGTTTTTTACTGGGTTTTGTTTTATGTTCTAGTGTCTGCACGTATTTGGCAATGTTTCGATGTAATTATTGGTATTTTGTTCCATTTCTGTCACGTACTTTATCAGGTGCTCCGTCAACACGTACCCGGATTCAACTGCTGAGCACCATTCAATGCGGCGTTTGCTCTCTCTGATTCACACGCACGTTTGCAGCGTATTTTGTTTATTTTCTTTGTAGTTTTGCAATAGTATTTGAGCTTCAAAAGATTTTGAACAATTCTTCATAGTTTACGCACAATGTTCATTATTAGCCACTTCATATCTTTTCTTGCGTTTCGACCAAATACCATCGGCAAGGACTATAAAATTCATCGTTCGATACGATATGACACCTGTTGCATAGTATACTCTTTGACTCTAAAGGGCCAAAGAACAGAGTAAAAACAGAGAATTAATTACGAGGATCTGAGTGAGCTTGCATTCTTCATGGTTGGATCCAGGACGAGGTGCAGGGGTGATCCAGGACGAGGTGCAGGGGTGATCCAGGACGAGGTGCAAGGGTGATCCAGACAAATGGTCAGGCGTAGATCTAACCGGAGTCTCCATGATCCAGGGAACCAGGGTGTCGGGTTGGATCTGAGGCGGATAATGAAGGTTGGAACCAGGAGAAGTGTGCAGTGGAAGATCTAGGGGGAGGCTGATCTAGGCTGGTGATGAAGGGGGGTGCATCCAAGGTAAAAGATAGGGAGGGGGTAGATCTATAGGAGCGCTGAACCTCTCTTAATTGAAAATTGAAATTTTGTATAACAGTTTTTATTTCAATCGACCGCAAATGCGCATGCATCTCGTAGTTGGTAGTAGAGCGGATTTCGTATGAGTGGGACACCGTTACCGCACGGTTACCGCACAGTTACCTGACCTGGCCTTCACAATTTTGGTGAACCAATGGGGCACTAGAATTTGGTTACAGTACGATTACGGTTACAGTACAGTACGTCCGTTTCCCACTCATACGAAATCCGCTCTAATATAGTAATAGTGATAATTCATTCTTTCCGCCATTTTAGTTCGCATGCAGTGACCCTACTTTCATTGTGACTGAGAATCTGTGCTTTCAAAGTAAGAGCTTGTTGACAACAGCAAAATCATGCTAGGTATTTCATGTTTTGCTTCAAAAATGGCCAAGGTCAAACATTGGAACGATGTAAAGGATAAACCTTTCACAGTACCGGGTTCCCTGTGGCAATCGAGCCGAGCTATCATGCTGTCGATTGGTAGACGCAATCGTAAGATCCAATTTAACCCTCGCAAGAAAACAAAAGAACGAGTTTAAAAGCAGTTCGAAATAATTGGAGATTTGATAAGTAAAAAATGCAGCATTACTCTACTGACATCGCTGCTCGGCTAATTGGCCGATAGCTTTCAGTCAATCTAAGTTTTCTCAATACTCAAATAGACAATATTTCTCTTATTAATTAATTCTGTAAAATCGTACGAGTCCTGTTGAGCCTTCAGTAYTCAATTTAACATGGACAGTGGCCAACTCTCAAAATTATCCACGGTACACTTTGCTACACTGAATCTTTGATTATATTTTTGTAATTCCTTCTTTTTTACTTGGTTAATCTGTCTTGTCAGGAACAATTCTTGTAATATTTGTATTTTCTTTTTTAGTATGAGTAAAAGATTGATTCATTGAAGCTACCTTAGTGGATCACGTGATCTTGATTGTATCGTTAGGCAGGTTTAAAATAACTAAAGTGGCGCGTGTAAAAGGGCCTCAGTCTACCTTGATAACCTCTTTGTTTAGTGTTTAATTATTGTGTCGATGACGTAACGCTATAGCCACACGATTGGATGATTTTGTAATGAAACATACCGCCATTTTTCCGCTTGATATTTGATCGTTTGATACATGCTTGAGGAGTTTGGAGTCCATATTCAGATTATTTCGTTGTTACTTTTATATATTTGCGATAAAAGGGTCTATATCGGTTGATTTATTAGTTTTCTAGTCGATTTTTGCTCCAACTCATAACTATAAATTGGCAATCTACGTTCTTATAGGGCCCCTTTTCAATTGCTTAGTAACCACATTACTCAGACCACCCTGTCATATAACCATAGCTGTTCTTATCTAAACCTTTCTTGTCCTGTTGGAGCCTTGCAGCAAAAGTGAGGAAAATCAGTAACTCTAACTCGCAAAGAGGTGAGCTTTGTAGGTAKTTGTACTGTTTTAAATTACATTCGCATTTTAACGGAATATAATATTGCAGTTTTCGAGTAAGATGTCCGATCATCTTTATCCAAACATTGAAATATCTGAAATAGAAGATGTTAAGAAGAAGACATCAAGTTTATATTGTTCTTTTCAAACAATTACAAAGAGCACCTTTTAAAAATCTCTTGCGAATTTCTTTTTTWATAACCGATCGACAAAAAATTATAATTAAAGACTTGCAGAGATTACCGTCCGACTCTTTTCAAATTGTTCACTATTTTTTCATTATATTCMGGTGCGRTTTTTCAAGCTAAAAGTTTCTTTGATATGTTAGTTTCTTAACGTTATTGTTATTTTTGCGATAGTTAGGTCATGTTTTGGCTCGGTGTAAAAACAGGGCTAATAGTTTGCTGGAAATGAAAAATTATTCTTGATTACTGTATGGCATATACAGCATGTTTTTCGCACCCTTGTTTTGCTTCACTTAGAGGAAAAGTGCACATTCTCTTTCACTGTTTATTTTAAGTTTCTAAACTGGATTAATCTACAATCTTGGACATAAACCTTGGGACACGCGCTATAGGGTTAATTTCTACACTCGAAACCAGACCCTCTCGCCATGATACAGTGTTGTGGACGGGCCGACAGCAAACCGTCAGACACAGAACTACAGCATTGAATGGGAGTAGAAGGGGATTAGGCTGGAGATATATGGACGAATAAAGCCTGTTTAAAAAGCGTGCATGAACAACCCAGAYTCATACGTCCCAAGGCGTTTTGTCCAAGATTGTAGCTTACTGTAAAGACAATTCTGCTGTGAAGATAATATTTTTAGCATATAGGAGACTGGGACTGGGAAATGAGAAAAAATCGTCATTCACTGTACTGAATTCAACAGAAACCACTGGCCATGGCAACTCCTCTGAATTCGTTTTCAATAATGAAATAAACCGTTTTGTTAATTTTTCTGTGTAGTTTTTTTCTATTAATTTGTTTGTTTTCCATCAGGCTTCGAATGAAAACTGTGGTGGTTCTTGCCCTTGTAGGGCTTCTGGCCAACTATGTCAGTGGTCGCGCTATCATAGTCCAAGATGAGGACATGCAGGACGATGCCCCATCAGGTGAATCCTACGACGACTGCATGATGAACTGCGATGACGACAGAGACGATTGCTTGAAAAATGCAGGTGAAGATGATGCGGAAGCACGGGATGAATGTAAGAGAGAACACAGTGACTGTACAGGGATAGGGATGCCATCTCGAGACGACACAGCTTACAAGAGAGTTGTCAAGAGAAGTTGTCAAGAACTTATTACTAAAGTTCAAGACACTCCCAAGAATAACAAAGTCAGCTTTGACTTCCTTATGCAGCAATAAATGGGTTGTTAGTGTAGAATAAAAATAAGAGATTTTGAATAATCATTTGATATAAGCAACATGGGTTTAGTTGTTTGAATAAATACTAATTTGGTCCATTTACTCAGTCTTGTTTTATAAACAGACATTAATATTTACGCTTCAGTTTCGAATCATTATCAGTGACGGATCTAGGATAGGGATAGGCTCCAGACTTTCTACTTCTTTGCTTTTAATATACGAGGGCTGTTCGTTTGAATGCAGATTCAATTGCAGATTATAAAACTTAAAAACGGTTGCAGAAAATGCGTGTTCTGCCCCTGGATCCGACCCTGATTATTGGTTGGCAATTTGACTAATCAAGTATATCGATGATGTGTCTGTGTGATGGTGACATTATGATCGATAACGGTTCGTAAAGCCAATAGCCGTTTTTGCGATTAGCGCAGTAGGCATCTTGAAATATTTCGCCCAGGATGTTGAAGCAAACGCTCTTTGGGAGCTTAGTCGTATCTTATTGACAAGCGAGTCTTTCATTTGATTTTTATGACAGAAAGAACGAGTATCATTTTTTTAATAGCAAATCAACTCTGTGTTAATGTGCATATAAAACGGATTCTGTTATTCAATGTTACTAAAAAATAATATCAACGTTCAAGAAATCAAATATCTGATGTCTGGTGTCTTCNGATATAAGCAACATGGGTTTAGTTGTTTGAATAAATACTAATTTGGTCCATTTACTCAGTCTTGTTTTATAAACAGACATTAATATTTACGCTTCAGTTTCGAATCATTATCAGTGACGGATCTAGGATAGGGATAGGCTCCAGACTTTCTACTTCTTTGCTTTTAATATACGAGGGCTGTTCGTTTGAATGCAGATTCAATTGCAGATTATAAAACTTAAAAACGGTTGCAGAAAATGCGTGTTCTGCCCCTGGATCCGACCCTGATTATTGGTTGGCAATTTGACTAATCAAGTATATCGATGATGTGTCTGTGTGATGGTGACATTATGATCGATAACGGTTCGTAAAGCCAATAGCCGTTTTTGCGATTAGCGCAGTAGGCATCTTGAAATATTTCGCCCAGGATGTTGAAGCAAACGCTCTTTGGGAGCTTAGTCGTATCTTATTGACAAGCGAGTCTTTCATTTGATTTTTATGACAGAAAGAACGAGTATCATTTTTTTAATAGCAAATCAACTCTGTGTTAATGTGCATATAAAACGGATTCTGTTATTCAATGTTACTAAAAAATAATATCAACGTTCAAGAAATCAAATATCTGATGTCTGGTGTTAATTTTAGACTCTTCAAAGCTGAGTTCAGTCATGAAACTATAAAAACAACAAGGAGTCATTACTTTAACGTTCCACAAAGGCTTCGTCGATTGGCTGTGTCGCTTTTAAAGTGATAGTGATTGGTTGTCCTTTGTATTGTATTGTTTCTTTTGTTTTACCAATTGGGCCTGAATCTTAGGATTTCGTACAGTTGGCTAATATAATGCTGTTATATTTCCGTCTCTCCTCTCATCCTCTCATAAATACCATCCGGTACAGAAATAAATTGTTGGTTATATTTTACTGCAATCAAAGGTTTTTTCACTTCATTTTAACATTTAATTTATGAATAATTTTTAATTGGCTTAGATGATTCTGAGATACTAGCAATTGCCTAGTAACGGTATACCCAAATACCCAACCTAGTCACTGAAAACTGACTTGGCAAAATTTTCCTTTTCCATTATTGATTAACAATTTATATATACACCAGCCAAGTTTACCAAGTCAAGGATTCTCGTCGAGGTAAGAATCTCTAAAACTACATTAGACYGCTTCATYTAAGCCGAAGCGTTACGGTTTTTGCTCAAATGGGACATAGTTTTCGATGTTTTCAATTTGCAATAGAGTTAAGGAATACGTGTCAGACCTAAGACTAAACTACACATCGAACTAATCGTCTTTCTGTGGTATTTTATTTTCGAGTTTTATTGTGYAGTGTCATCCTGTGATATTTATCTATGATTTTTTTTTTTTTTCATTAGCAACATTTGGTCGTGCGTTTCATTTTATAGAGTATCTTGATCAGGCAACAATTGAGTCAACTCTCATGTTTTTGAAAATAAGAGTCTTCTAAGAGGAGGATTTAGTATAATAATATAGTTATAGCTATAAAGATTTTATAGAATACACGATTTGCTATTTGCATTTTTTTAATCGTTTTTACCATTGGTCTGTCTGCCAATACTGCTCCRTAGCAATGAGTATTAGAGAACTTTAAACTTGAATATTAGTAGAAAGRTTTGTTTAGTTATATAGTTTCTGTATTATCCGTCATCAAGGGAAGGCCAGGGAATGAAGGACACATCAGTGTGGGCTATCCACTTACTCAAAAAGAGTCAATTTCGGTAGAGTCTTGCAAATTTATGTTGTTATGGATAATGAAACAGATCTTGCAGTCTGTCTAAGAACAACGTAGGTAAACGCSGTCAATTAGTTTTCTTTATGGTTTATAAGTTACCTTTTACCATAAACGGGGACAATGAAACTCTACTGACTGCCCAGTTTGACTTCATCCCCCGGAACGCACCTAATATACTATGGAGTCAGAAAGGTTGAGTTCTCACTCAAGCCAAGCTTTGGCTGAATCATCCCTGATAATAATATACATCGTTCAAATATAGTATTTTATTGACAAAACGACTGATTTAATAATGGTATCTTTTAATCTTTTAAGGCAATGAAAGGATTTATTCTCGTATTCCTTGGGCTGGTAATCTTGTATGTTGACGGACGAGCTGTTGAGTTTGATATAGCACACCATCAGGCAGATACATCGAACTATGATAACTGCATGTTAAGGTGTGAAGAAGTATTTGAAGATTGTCTCGAGAAACTTAACACAAGAGACGACGAAGAAGCATTTTTCATGCGAAGAGATTGTCGATATGACAGGGATGAATGCCAGACGGGTGAATCAGCTCGAGACGAAAACCTTCCAGAATACAAACGTATTGGTAAACCAAACTGCGCCGATTATGTACATCAAAGACATGGCTTGTAGCGATGTTCTGGTGTTACACATCCTTTGTGAAACCTTGCTGGCTTTTGAATGGAAGGCTGTTGGAGAAAAAATAGCTCGTTTTCCTTCGCTGTTCGTTTTTGCCCCTGACTCCCTGCATCGATCAGCTCAAGGTTCAGTGGATTTATTGATTTTAGATTAGTCGACCAGTAAAAATCATAAACTATTTTGGCAGCATTCAAAACGATATTATTTTCTTGTAAAAATTGTTCTTATATAAACAAAGAGAAGTGACTGATTTCGAAAATGAATATACACTTTGCAAACGTGATTGATACAATAATTTAAGGCACGCTGTCCCATTATGCTTTGCGCTCGTCTGGCTTGGTCYCTTTTGAACACAGGTAACCCAAGCTTGACGATGTAATGCATTTATGTGCTAAGATCGGTGCGTTTTCTCGCTTTTCGTCGGGAAAACCATCGCCATATAAACAGCACATCTCATACCTTAATGTAAATCCAGCGCTTTGAGCGCGTTTAATAGTTAATACCCCAAATCCAACACGGGCCCCGCTCCCTCCGGCACCCCMACCGGAAAAATATTGTCTGATTCATATGTGACGTGTAACCTCAATGATATGATAAAGAGCCAAAATTGTTTGGAGTAATTCACACTGAATGAGCCCGTGGCTCATGYTGCTGAGATTCAACGCTTGACAGAGGATAAAATTCTGGTACAAYAACAACTAATGGTTAATGTGCTTTATTTGTATACATAGATTAATACATCGATTTCTTTTTACCTGGAAAGAGAAGAGAATGACAACTGTAATCACTATATGGTGTTAACCTAAATAAACCACGCTAATAGACCTAATAAGTACCTTCAACCTGTCAAACTTTATTTTTGGTTAATTTCGTAGGCATTCCAATGGCTCGTCAACCACTTTATAGTAGAAATAGTTGAGCCTAACAAAAGAAATAACGCTGTATTATAAATGATGTGATTTGAACCGAAGGACGTACGAGAAGAAATGTTGAGAAACAAAGAATGGAGATTGAAGARCCATTTTCAACCAGCATCCCTTTCGAGCTTTTGGTGACGTTTTTAAATAAAATTACATCGTAACATAAGCAAAAACTTACTCTTTATTACCTTTATACTATATGAATGGAGATATTGTTAGATTCGAACTTAAAACCGACGGATCAAGTTCAAGATCAATATATTTTGTAACCAAATTACAATGAGTGATGTGTTGGTCTGCAATAGCAAAAATACTAATCGAGGCAGGCCAAGCTCAYTGAGGATGGAAACCGATTGAGGATGGATATCTGAAGACATTTCATCATCTTCCATGTATGYAATAAAAATCTAAATGATGACCGCATTGAAAGCCGGTGAACCATGTAGGGACATGTTAAATAACATTAGTCAAAATGTTGTAAATACCAAAAAATTCCCTTTGTTCTTATCTTACATGATGTCTTTTTTCCCCGTATTCACTATAGCTTTGTATTTGATAACCCTTACAGTGATTCTTCTAAACACCGTAAAGAATTCCTGTTCCGTTATTTTTCAAAACAATATTGAGTTTGTGTTGTTACCATGTTCTTTCGTTGTTTATGCATTCCCACTGTGTACACATGCAGCCACGTTTTCTAATTTGTTTTGAAACAAGTTTTTGGGTGTATTTCTTGCAGCAGGCATTATCTATCGAACCACAAAGGAAACTCTTGTAGTCCTTCTTGTCAACCACTTTTGAATCTTTACAAAAGTACTTGATGCATCCAATTAGCTGACTCTCGCCATCTTGTATCACAACATYTCCAACGGTACACGATGCTGCCAGAGGAAAGAAAATAAGGCTCTGAATTAAATTCGTAGAAGTTGGTCTCATATCAAAAATGACCCCTGAGCGATACCAAAAGCTTTTCAAAAAGGGCGTGGCATGATAATACAAACAGGTACTAACCGAAGAAACCGCTGTATTTCATTTCACCTTATTGAGTCCCGATCGGGGAGGTTCRTTCTAATAAGTAAGTTTAAAACAAGAATCGTTGTCTTGTTCTTTTTGTAGTTTACCTTGTGCGGTATGATAAACAGCCAATGCTGCCATGATCACAGTAACACAACAAGTCTTCATCGTGTACTTGTTCCTACAGTATAAACAACACAATAGTCTCCTTCACGGTTTCCTCCGCCATCTTGAAATGTAACCGTGCGTTGCACTGAAGCGAGACGACCAGTGAGCGTGTTAATGATAGAAACCCTTGTCCACACAAGTCAACACTTTTGTAAACCTTTAACGTCACTACTTGATTTTCAATGCATTGTGGGATCAGTTCTTATGTTCTGTCCCAAGCATATCCCAAAATGCTTTGCGTTTACGGTACATGATGCAGGTCTATTATTGAGGTGCCTATTATTGAAAGCTTACTGATAGTCTCGCGTCAATTCAAAGGCATGGCTACATTTCAAGATGGCCCAGGGAACCGTGAGGAAGTCCATTACTGTCACAATCCGTATAGTGGATATGGAAGGCATGSAATCTCCGGCGTTTTCATCGACGTGTCAATTTTTAGATTTTTCTTTAGTCGTCTCTTGCAGCCTCTTGGCTATTGCTRACTTCGGAATAGCTAGAAGGCAATTCACTTTCTTTATCGTCCGCCATTTTTGTTAATTATATTATTTTGGTTTCCCGTGCGGGATTTCGCGCGAGTGACTGCTCATTGGTCGAAAGAACTCTACAAAAACGCTGTGATCAAACCCAATTACACACCACTGTGCAGCGATTGTACAAATTGAAGGGTTGTACATTTCGTCCTTACCGCTCGGCCCTTCCAGTCCCCTTAGGGCCGCTACGCAGGCTAGGTTCTACAGTTTTCATAAAAAGACTGGTACTGAACATGCGCAATATTCTGGARTAGCAGTTCTTAATACTGCGCATGTTCAGCCCACTCGTTCTTACAAATCATATCCAACCTGTGCTGGAAACAATACTATTTCCTATACAAGAAAGACAGCGATGCACTCTGAAGTMCTGCATGTTCGCAGTGCCGAATCTTCAAAAGTTTTCAGCAGCCAAACATAGATTGATAACTTTTCTCGGCAAAAAAATCATAACTGACAATCTGAGTCCTCAGATCGATTTTCCATAAGTTGTACCTAAAAAGATAACAATTCATGGGCGAAATGACCGAGTCATTAAGAACAGAACTTACCGTGGTTGTTGTCAGCCGTGGTTGTTGTTAGAGGAAGGTTAGTGCATCTGTGACTCGTGTAAGGCTGAGCTGCAGTTTTTTTCTTATAAACACACCAGGTCTCACAGCATCATGCCAGGATGTATGAAAAACACTTTCCAATTGTAAATCAGTAGTGTGCTATACTTTACTAAGGTACCATGGTGACTCAAATCAATGTTTTTGAACCATCCCATCTTGGACATTACATCGTTATGAAATATACTCAATTGTTTTAATCAGTAAAATTGAAATGAATGTGGACTAATGATACACAACGGTAATTGCTGCCACGGGCTGCGCAMGWTTGATTGCAGTAGCCTCAGGGGATTTTAGATGAACATAATTGTTGGTTATGATGTTGGTCACATATATYATTGTGTCTATATAAACAAGACCCTTCCGTATCTAAAGCATTGGTTGGTATCCTTACTTAATCTTGTTAGTTTTAAAACAAGAAAAGATCAGTTGTTCTTCAGTAGGTCGCACTGTTCTAGAACGTTCAATCATGYACAATCACACGTTCTAGARCAATTAAATGACGCATTAAAAAGTGATGGAACTCGTCCATATAATCGTCTTAAACACGAAAACACCTTATTCCAAAASTAAAACAATGGCAAAGCGCTTTTSGRACGATTGGKAAAAACATATGGACACTAAGCCTAAGATTTCAATGACTTTTGATTTTGAGACATTAGTATTACTAAGTTTTACCAATAAAAACTAAATTAAATTAAATCAACCGATGACAGATGAAATGATTTGTACAAAAACTGGTAATTAAGCTTATTATTTAATACCGGAAAGTACTATCATGTTTTTTTTCAAATAAATTCATTTTTACCGATAGATTACACAAGTAATGTGTACCTATTGATTCGCCTATTTGTGAATCGTCACCATTAATGTTTTAATCAAAGATTCACACTTCGGTGAGAAATTTTCGGATTTTAGAGAAAAACCGTCGKGAAAATATGGCAAAATTCACGTTATTTGAAAACACTACTCGAGAATTTCGTGTGTAGCACATTGACTTCATTGGTGACATATGATGTAGAATATTGCGTGGCCAAAAAMCACGTTGACAGTATCCCCCTGTGACACGTGAGAAAGTTATTGAACGAGGAAATGATTCTTGGCTGGAAATGATTCAATTTATTGCTTTTTAGTGTTTTAGTGCTATTTTTTATGTTTCAACAAAAGCAGTGCTGGAGGTCTGTAAGTCATATATAGCTGGGGGTCCGTTGTTTTAATTATACCTATTTTTGTAATATCACTTGTGTCTAAAAAAACAGAAATTCCCAGWWATTTGCTTTGTCAAAGAAAACCAATGTGCAATTGTTTAAATTGTCTTCTTTTTTTTCAAATTTGAAAGTTATGTCTTGTGTTTTTCAATCACATTATACGTAATCTTACGTAAGTGTTGAGTCTGTATTTTTCATATTTTTTTTTTTCATTGGACTGAATATTCATCTATCATATCGACAAAACCCAAGACACATAAAACATAACAACTACAGCAAAAAATATTAAGATATCTGACGTTTTGGAAGATTTATTATTCATATTTAAATCATGAATTTTGCCAAACAATTTATAATAACTCCTATATATTAACTATGAACACAGTTTTACTTAATTCTCTTCCAACATTCCTGTTTTGATCATTCTGAAAATAAAAAAATGAAATAATTATGTTAATAAAGATAGACAGCATCACGTTAAGTACCTTAAAAGTTCATCTCGAGCTTTACCGTCTTCGCCGTCGTTCGAGCCAAATTTATTCTTGATTTTTTGCCACAAACTCTTGACTATGGATTTGCTATCAATAAAGTATTATAAAGTAGAATTTTTACTTCAGTTATACAGTATGTTTAAAATAMTATACAATATATTTAATGAGGGGATTATGCAGTAGGGATACTAACACATTGTGGAAAGAAGTAAAAAGTGCTTACAAGGTCTTTTTACGGCATTCATATTTGAAGCAATGGCATTTCTTGTTGTTAACACTGTCTGCAAGAGATACTTTGACGAATTCATGAGCCCAGCCATTGCAYTGATCAGAGGGTTTCTTAGGCAAACAAGGGTGACATAGAAATTTCCCATCATCTTGACATAAACAGGTTTCAAGGCAAGTTTTTGTGGTGTAAGTTGTTCCTTCCATGAACGATGCACCATCTTTCTGACAAGTAAGTTCTCTTTTCATTGAATGGCAATTAAGAACTGAAAYACACGATAAAGTGATATTTAGGCAAGTAATTTAGGGACTGCGAAATATTTATCAGGCCAGGACACATAAACACATAAGCACATAAACTTAGATGTTGCCCCCCCCCCTCTGGTTTCTCGACCCCCTCCTGATAAATATTGYGCAGTCCCTTATACTTGAACCTGTCCCAACTAAGGTGCATCACTACACAAGATATAGTCATTGTTACAAGTATAGGAGAAATATATCTCAATATAACTACAACAATAAAACAGAACCAGAAACCTATAGGGGACTTGAAAAGTTTTCTGATATAACATAAGCTTGTACATGTCCTTGCAAATCAAAGCGGACGTCCTARCTCCTACTGGATACTCATATTTTTGGTGACCAGATTTTTGTTATGCRCWGCCACGCCCTAAAGTAATTKCTTGGTCCGTCCCTGTCAGTCACAACAGTATTGTCATGAAATCGTCTCAATCTTAGTTTCTTGTATTACAATAAGAAGTCTATCYTCAAAGAACGATAGTCAGTCTGGAAATTCACTTTAAAGCATAACAATTCTCCAAGCATATTGTAAGAATTGAAATAAAAGGTGTTGGTTTATGATAAGATTTATATTACACATAATGGATGTTTTTACAATATATAGACATTTATGCGATTTTAGCCGTGATTGCTGTGAGCTGATAGACTTACTGTCTTTAATAATCCAACATTAATAATGTATGACCTCTTAGTTCAATGAGATTGCATCATTGGGTTAAATGATGGACACTTATTTAAAGCCCGATCTTTAATTAACCRGTTCTATATCAAAAAGACAACAAACCAAAAAAAACATAATTAAAAAAAGCGATGTTCAATTCATAATTTGCGCGTTTAGCGTAACCAACACKGACAAAGCTAAATCACTGGAAAGGGTAAGTTTAGAATCACTACATGTATCAGTTTGCAGATATGTACTTTAACAAAAAATGGCCGCTCTTCCATGTGGGATCAATTTGCGCATGCTCATTAGAAGTTACGCTCATTAAAAAGTTTTCGCATTTATATTTTTTTCATATTTTAAGCTTTTTCTYAAATGATGAAGCTTTCTGGATATTGGAGTTCTAGAAGTTCTTTATAGAACTATTTTATCGGGCTCGTAAATCTRTGATAAAACATGCATCCTCGTTTTATAAACAACACATCAAATTTGAGAAAATTTGACGTGAGACAATCTACCGCAGTAAATTACTAAAAGCTTTTTTGCAGTTTACATAAGCTCTACCTAAAGAGATCCTGCAATTATCAAATCTATATTGTATGGTATGTACCGAAGAGAAAAACTACATTTTCAATAGCAAATCAATTTCCTTTCCATGTTTATCCACCTCRTACTGATTCACATTCCCAGAAATCCAAAGGAGCGCTTACCTTCAAATGACAATAGTCCTACAAGTATACCAAAAAACCCAGCGCCGTTCATCATACAACGGTTCCAAGTCAGTGCAGCAATATGGTTGAAAGTTTGCGTCTCTGGTTTTTGAGTTTTATGTGTTCAGTTTTTTTATCAGTTCAATGCACACCTGGCTCCTATGACATGCTGATATGCTCATAGCGATAATGGTTAATAGTTGATTCATTCCCGAAAAACATGCATCGCGCAACGGCTATTAGTACCATAAACCATTGCTGTACATCATAAACCATTGCTGTACATCATAAACCATAATTATAGTATTTGAAATAGGAAGTTATACAGGTTATATAATTTAATCATTTAATTTCATCAAACAATACTCACCAAAAGTTTGACTTACAGTTTTGATTGGCTAATTTACAAGGAAGTTCACGTTATCTTGGAGTTTATCTGTTGGTATTTGAAGCAAATGAGTTGTTTATTAATTTCTTATGTGGTGGTTTGAGGTCAAGCTGAATCAGTTGTCTTGTAATGGTTCACATCGACAGCATACGAGATAAACAAGGTTCAAACAAACGTCTTTCTCTAGACTGCGGTATATTACGTTTATAAATTTTACTGTTTCAAGACTATTAGACCTCATCTTCMCACTAGAAAACTGCTCAACGGTTGTCCACATAAGACATTTTAAATGTTCCAATGGACATGTGACTTTTTWAAAAAAATATTCACCTCCCGTTCTTGCAAAATGGTCTAGATTTTCAGGTGCACTTAAGTGGAGAAATGTCAAAGCCATTTTGAAAATTTTTCATTCTCAATATTTATCTTTTCACTAACGTGAAAACTGGAACATCGGAAATGTCTTTCAGTTTCAAGATTGGCTGAAAGTGGCCGCCATTGTTGGATTGAAGATAACCAGGATATTTTCATTAATTTTTCTTGTTTATTCATCCAACATGGCGGCGATAGCTTCTCACACCAATTAATGGCAAACATCTGCCMAATCAGTGTAAATAGGTATAAAACTAGCCCTTTATAAAGAACAGGTAAATTATTGGAGGCCCGAATCTGTCCCCAAAGAATTTTTACACAGGAACACTAGCTACCGAATTTCCATTGAAATATTGACACAAGTACTCCGCCACACGCATTAAAACTAACTCAAAATATTAAAACATGACAATAGTTTTATCAAGATGTTGGAAAACTTGCGGTTAAGAACAACGAATTGTCGTTGCTTCAGTTCTTATTCATAAAGACAGCCAATAACTAATCGTCAAGTAACGAGTACAAAAGAAATCGCGCTGACAGGTGTTCCGACCTTAACGACAAAAAAATTCATTACACTTTGACAACTTTTTGAAAAAACTTTTCCTTTTAAATGTAGATCTCATTTAGAAAAATGACAACTAAATCTGTCCCAGCCAAGCGTCATATCTGTGTGTGGACCCACCCCGAAGGCTCAACGCCGGCTGTTAGAGTGTTAGTCGAAGAAGGAAAAATCAGAGCCGAGAATCTTCTCCGCATCGCTTCTAAGACACTTAATATCTTCGAGTGTAATCTGAGTTTCTTTGGTTTGTTTAAAGGGATTGAGCGTCCAACTAAAAAATATGGCAACAATGAGATGATATACTTGCCATGTAAAGAGATTATTTCCATTCAGCGATGGTCCTTCGATATTCCTCGGGAAAAGAAACTTCTGAAAACCGATGCCGGCGCTCTTCACGTCCTGGCATTGCAGTGTAAATCAGATCTTAAAGCTGGMAGAATCAAGGCAAAGCCAGAAGATATCCCTGAGYTSAAAGACTATGCGAATCCTCAGTTTCCATCTGATAAGCAGTTTGTGGAAAAGTGTCAGACGTTGGTAGGGTACGCATCGGTTCATTTCAACGACTGTGTTGTCCAGAGTGACATCTCAGTTAAAGATTTGTCATTRAGTGAGGGTACAGATTTATTACTTGTGGCAAGTCCACGAGGACTTATGTTTAAGACAGGTAAACCAATTTTAATTATTATTTATTTTCCCAYTTTTTTCATGCATGCATTCAGTTGAAAAATTACTTCTTTGAAGTAACTTGTCACTCAATTTCATTTGATGTTGCGGTAGTTTGACACTCTGTACGATMCTCAGAAATGGTTGCGTGTTGGACAGATCAAAATCCACCCAATATCAATCCCAAACCTCACAGCTTATATCAAGATATTTCCCCTTGCCATAAGTAGAAAAACGTCTTTCAGTAAACGGTAATTTGTATTGAGTTCGTGGCACTAAATAAAGTTCTATGTTTTGTTTAGAGAAAGTAGTTTTCTTTGCACCATGGCGTAAAATTCGTCGCTGGTCAGAAGTACAAGGCAACAGTGTTCATTTTGAAATCTTTTTCACTGATGAGATGAGATTTGAGTGGATTGAAGTTGAATCAAACCAAGCGGCATATCTCATGGCTGTAATTGCAGAGTTTGTGTTCATAATAAAACGAGAGTCTGAAGAACCAACATTCAAAACACCAAAATGGATAAAAAACAAAATGGCAAATCGGATAACGTGGAAAATGATCAAAAAGGAGCTCTTTTCTTCCAAAAAAGAGAAAGCTGAAGGCGAAGAAGGAGAAGGGGAGGAAGAAGATGACGAAGAAGAAGAAGAGGATGAAAGTGACGACGATGAAGAAGCAGAAATGATTCATCGTCTTGATAGTATTTACGATGAAGCAAGCTCCGATGAGTCTGGTGACGAGGGYGGGGTAGCACGTGCGTCTGGATCACGCACTAAAACACGCTACCGGCCAAGCTGATTGGTTCAAACATCTATTAGTATAGTAWGRACATCAGTCAATCAAAAAACAAACAAAGAATTAATTAAAGCTACAAGACTAGCATGATGTTTTTTTCAAATTCAAAAAACGTTTATTTTCTAATATTTTGAGAAATCCTAATAATTGCAAATTTTATCTTACATGGGTTTTTTATTAGAAATACCGTTCCTGAATACCTTCTTTTGTATATATTAACTCGACTGGATGCACTTTGCACTCGTCTTTATCTCGTTTTGCACGATTTATCATGATTAGTTGTTTGGTATTTTGTATTATTGACTCATCCGCGAATGGAGTCTTTTTTAATAAAAATCTAATGAAAAGGCCCAGACATTTATTACAATTATCTGAGAATAAAATTTCCAGACAGTTKGTTAGTTTTCTCTACTCATGTCACGTCCCGGTTTTTCTCTCATCGTACAACCGGTCCCTWTGAAGTACGTAAACTATCGTTAAAGTCTTCAATAGACTTGTGAATCTTTTACGTCATCTAATTGATTTGCAATGAATTGSGGAATATCGGCCTCTCTTTGGTTTTTCCCAATTATGTCCTACAATGCATTGCGTATACGGTATAATATGTAAAAGCTTCACAGGTCTATATTGCTACCAATATAGCCTACATAAATGTCAAAACAAAGAAAGAACAAAACTGTCCGTCTACACTAGTTTATACTGATATAGCAGTCTGAAGAAACTGAAGGTTGAAGGCTAAATTGAAARGCATATCCATGTGAAAGGCGATGCATCAACGTTCTTTCGGATTGTCCCAAGTCAATCATTCCCTTACCATTCAATTGTCAATTCATAATCTCTTTACCTCTCGGTCCATCCATTTTTCATAGGCGTCCCTCAGGTAAACATCTTCAAGAATAAAGAAATGAATAATAATGATGATAATAATAATGATGATGATAATAATGATTATGATGATAATAATAATGATGATGATAATAATGATTATGGATGATAATAATAATGATGATGATAATGATGATGATTATGATGATAATAATGATGATAATGATAATATTGTTGATGATAACAATAATCAGTGATGATGGTATGAATGATGATGATGATAATAATAATGATAGTATCTCTCATCTCGAAAGGTGTAATTTCCTGTAGTAATGACGATATCAAAGAAAGAAAGGTAAACGTGTTTATGTTTTTGTAAAATAATAATAAAGGTGCATATTACTGGAGAAAACAAACTTACATCAATCAGGCTAAATCTGAAAGTGGTCCTCATTTCCTTCGTCAGGTGATGTAGAAGGTTTGACCGGTACTAGTAATGGCGATCTTTCAGTTGCTTCGGGTATTTCCTGGTAACCAGTCAGATTCTCAGTAGAAGAATCTGTACTTAAACTGAATTGYGAGGGTAATTTGTGATTCCTGACGTATTGTTTGGTGGCAGCCTGAAAATCATGAACACACAAAAATGAGTGCATGAAGCATTGAGGTAGTTTTCAGCCATCACACAGCACCATGATGGTTTATGACGATATCTGACCGACCAACCGTGCAACCGACCAACCGACCAACCGACCACCTACCTGCAAAATACTCGGATTGGCTTCAGGAAGGTCAGCACTAATTGCATCRGAGAGAAAAGCCGAGGAAATGGCCGTTGACCTCATCATGTAAAGGTAAAATAAGATCGTCATGATGGGAAGAGGAGTGAGTAACGATGGAATAGAAACCAAATCCTTGAGTCCAAAGATTCCAATCATAACGAGATGAAATACCACAACGCTGGCTATTATTCTAAAAAAAACGATGGATATTATGATGAGCAACATCTCCCAAAGCACCAGAAAAAACTTTTTTTCATTTGGATTTGAGCTACATCTCAACAGAGATGTTATTATACTTATTAGATAGTCGTGTCCATACCTTTTAAAGACGACAGGCCACAWCATACCACCACAACTGTAGGTAGGAATATARACACAAAGGATTTGATACATCCACACCACATAACCAAAACCAAAATAAAATAACACAAATATTGAAACCAAAGGAGCCATGACAGAAAAACAAAGACCAATGATAAGAACAAGTAGATGATCTGCAAACTGAAAAGTAGAACAGTCAAAAGGGATTGTATTAAAAAATTATAAAATTCATTAATATTCATAAGGCAAAACACAATAGAAATCATAGCCCATGAAGAGAGTTGTATATTACATACAGATTTCTTGTTCATTTGCATAAACTTTTACTCTGATTTTCTCAGTCAGATTGAATTTTTTTTCAAAAGTTTCTTTAAAACCTGAGCTAATTTACCTTAACGTTTCATAAGTAATATACAATATTCGCGTGCGATCTGTATGAGGTTTAAAACAGCTCGCTTTCAGCTCGCTGTTTTAAATCCTCATACAGATCGCCCGCTCATATTGTATATATTACTTAACAAAAATACCCAAATAATGTTATACATGAAAGAAACAAATAAACAAGAAAAAAATACCATCAAAATATAAAACAGAAGAACACAAGCAGAAACATCAATTCATGTAAATTGCAAATGAACAAGCAACATGAGCAGAAGTCCATAACAATGGATATGAGTTAACACATTGTTGTTATGGTAATAATTTGCCTTCAAATATACATTATGCTGTCGTACTTACCAGTGCATCGTAAGGCACTGSTGGGGGTCTCCAGCTTTCTCTTTCTTCTCTCGGTGTTGGGTGAAAAAATTTCTTTTTCAATGAATAAATCAATAAAGGCACTGGACGTAGTAGTTCCATGGGATATACAGTAAAGGAACATAGCATGAGATATGAAAKAAAGAAAGATGAAAGGGATGGAAGAGTTGTGCCTAAATACATAGGAATATTGTCTGGCTTTTTGATCATGATCTCAAGTTCTTTCAGTGCTGAACCAGCTGTCAGGAACAGAAATTGATTGACAACCTTAAACAAAGAAAGAAAATTAACATTGATTTTATTTAACATTCTTTGTAATCAAAATCATCACTCATGATACTTTATCATCAGAATCATCTGGAAGGACACAATGATTTAACATTGTCCTTATTATCACTTTCAAAAATCACAATCAATTATCATAAACCATAAAGCTCCATACCTTGAAGATGAAGAGCTTTGAAAGTGTTGCTTGTTCTACTTCACTCAATGACACRAGACCTTGCATCTTTGATAAGTATCTCAGAACCTGACAGACAGCAGTATCAGAATGATTGTCCAAAAACAAAATATAAGTATTTTAAAGTACAGATCAATATGAGAAATATGCAAGAAAACTAGGAAGAGGAGGTCTGAGAAAAGGTAAGGGGGCTGTAGCTCTGTATCATCCAACTACACTTAAGATCAAGATAATAGATGGGGAGAGATGAAGGATAGGCTTTGCTTCGCAAAACTAAACATCCAGGGGTACAAGTCACCTTGAAGGTYCATTCCCTCTCTGAACTTATTTGACAACTATATGTGACACCAGTTGAGGTAGCTCTACTGTAATATGATTTATGTATCTGASTTGTACATATTAATTCAGTATAACTACTTCAACTGAGGCCATTTAGTTATTTTAATAACTATTAACTATTATTAAAATAATATTTTTATTATTAATTAAACAAACCATTGGTAAGATTGCAAAAAAGATCAGCAATGCCAAGCTGGACAAGAATCCTTCAAGGAAGTTTTTGATAAGACTTGGTAGTTTGTTTACTAGAAATGAGAATA